ACGTTTGAATGTCTTGTAAAGGAATATCCTATTTTGTTCTGCAATGATTTTCTCGATCTCTGAAGACTTGGTCATTGACAGTTTGGGGCGATTTTCCCTACAAACATCATTGACAGTGTTTTCAGGTTGTACAAACATTACATTTGTCCGATGAGATGTATCTGCTCCGGTCATCGTGTCGTCTTGATAATAATCATTGTTAAGGATAGCTGTTCCAGGAACATTGCTTGTAATTTCTTCTGGGCATCCCTCATCCGTCTCTAATTCACACCTGGCCCATGCAGCATACAAATCTAGGACATCTTGGTAACTGATTCCGAACGCAAATCTTTTCATCAAATCTATAATCTCGCGACTTCTTGTGAGTCCATGAATTGTCATCGACAAGTTTGTTTGGAAAGTTTCCACTAATGAGCGGTTTACACTTATGAATGATTATACTAAAGATGATAGAGAAGCATTCTCCAGACTACAATTTCGATCAAAGTCCTTTGCTGCAGGATTTTTAAGCCAGGTCAAAAACTTTCTTGAAAGGATGTTGGGTTCTTTCTTTTGCTCGAGTTCATCAACGCGGGGAGGCCAGTTCATGCATGCATCACCTGCAAGATTCCTTTTCGACCGTCTTCAACCGTGTTGAGCGATTGCTCGTCGTCAACTCCCCATGAATGTATCTCTGCTTCAACAAAGGATTCTCTTGAGAACGTGTCATACACAATAGTGCTCAAGTTCTTGTGATACCGTTTATGGAATCCTATCTTCTCTTTGAACTCTTTCTGAATCCTGTTTCTGATGGTGCTTGTGTTGGTTGTACTGGTATCAAATCCAAAATTTCTAAGCATGTTTTCATAGTCAAATAGAAGCCTTTTTAAAGTTTTTGGCTCGTTCATCTCGATAACTACTTTTCGTACTTGGGCAAAAAACATTTCTTTGACTTCAGACAAATGAACATCTCATAAATGGAATCTTGAATCATTGCTTTCCCATCTATATACGGCGTTGATGTATTTCTTCCAGCAGGATTTATGGTAGCGAAATCTCTGCAGCAAAGGGATCTGGCGTGCAGCGTATTATAGCCAGGACACGCTCTTACATGGCAGCATCTTCCAGGTATAAAGTGTGCCTCCTGAAAGTGCTCCATGAAATCATCTGCTGAAGAAGATGCCATTTGTCTCGCCCTGGATTCTTGTTGTCTTCAGGCTAAATACACCAGATGCATAGTCTTTATTATGTATGGATCCTGTGCTTCTCCTCGACATCCGACTGGGAGGTTGAAACTCAGATTCTTTAGAACCTTCCTCATTTATTACAGCTGCGTCACTTTCTCGCTCTGCCATTTCTTTTTTTCCTATTGTTTGCTTGCTGAAGTTTTCTTTTGCGCGTAAACTCTGTCTTACAAATTGTATGAAAGAACATGCCTGATGGGCCATCATCCCAGCGAACAGTCTCAATAATATCTCCATTTCTATCTAGTCCTCTCCATTTCAATGCAAAGGTCTTTAGCATGTTCTAGGGAGAAGCTGGAAAGTCAATTTGTTCTCGTTGCACGGTTTCTTACATAGTATGCAAGTATATAAATCTATAATGTCACTTTTTCTTTTTCCCCCCTTTGCTTCTGATGATCCTGGCGTAGATTTTAGCAACTGTTTAAACATTTTTGCATAAACTCGTGTTTACAGATTGTCTGAAAAGTAATCAAACAGCAGGGCTATACATATATTAAACGTATGTTTCAAAAGAAACTTCTTGTAAGAAATTCAACTCCAAGATCGCTAAAAATTCGAGAAACCAACGTATTAGCCATTAGCCAGTACTGATCATGCAGAAAGATTCAATACTCAAAATTTGATACATTAAAGATATTTTTAGTTCAAGGCCTATTCCTTATTTTCTTGTAACAATCTATCTTAAACTTCATGAATGGATGAAAACGGTTAAAAGATATTACTACAAACCTAAAATCTAATGAACCTACCACTCTCTCCGATCAAACAGCAGGGTTGTATTGAGTTGTGATTTGCTAAACTTTTTCACTGCATCTGTTTCGAAGTATCTCCGTAGAATGAGATGAGTCTTTGAAACTGTATCAAACCACAGTTGCCAAGTATTTCCGATGTTGTGTGAAGAATTCAGCAAAAACTAGTCTTGTGCAACATTTACTCAAAGATCTTATTCGAAAAAAGAGGTAGGGTACAAATCCCCGTCATTTTGAGGGTCACCCAAAAAGGTTATTTTCAGGGTATTTTTATTGGGGGGTGATACCTTGTCAGTCTTGACCTGTGGACTGGTTCATTTGATATCAATTTCGTCCCTTTACGGCGTAAAATCGATTGTGATGGTGATTTCATGAGAAAATTGGCCAATTCCAGACAAATTTTTGAGAGGGTCCCAAAGCCTATTTTGTTCAACATATTTACTTGATCTAGAAAACTCGCCTCAAAACAAGGTCTAGGAAAATTGGTCACGGATTCCTGGTATTTTACTTTGCTACAGGAACAGATTGGTGGAAAAGCAAAACGTACATCATTTACGTAGAATATTTTCCTCTATAACACATCCTAAATCGCCTAAAATGCAATTTTTGGGAAATTTTTTCTTGAACTTTTAAAAACATAAGCTTTTTGACCACACACAATACCATCTACTGAGGGATTCTGCAAAATATGAGTAGATTCTGAATTTGGAAGCTAAGGTATTTGAGTGGACAATTGAGAAATAGAATTGGGTATCAGAGCCCTAAATTCAAGTTCAATGTATAGAATTTGGACCCTCCACTTAAAATTCGTGACGTGTGCCCTGAGTATAAGTTGAATAGTAGCAAAATGATCAAGTCTTGCTAACTCGCCAAAATTTTTGAAAATTCTTGATTATATATGAGAGTTCTAATTTTTCAACAATTTCACAGCTAGTCTCTACCCAGCATAAAATGTAAAAAGCAGTTGTCCTGATATATGATTATATATTGCGTCTGCTGCTACAAGATCAATGCTGCCGTGAAGGCGAGGTTTTACATTTGCAGTCCACGTATAATGCCGCATCCTTCCAAAGCTTATCTTGTATTGGTATCGTTGTGACACAGTTTTCTAGCGCCGCTGCTAGGAGGTACCGGCCCTGGAGCTAAAGTCATCACTGCTCCCTATTTTGCAGCGAAGGCCCAACGCCCTTGCTCGGAAATTGAAGGCTAAAATGGGCTTTATAAATTTCTTTGTAGCGTGGTTAAAATGTTCTTCTTTTCTAAAACCTTCTCGTGAATCTTCGGACTGGGGTTCTGTTTATACAAAATAGGCATGAATACAGTGTTACGCGGCAATTAAAAGTGAGTCAACTTATGAGCCCCCCCCCCCCCTCTCGCCCCCTCCCGAAAATATTTTATTCAAACTGTTGCTCATTAATTTTGAAGCCTTTCAGTACCAGTTTACAAGCTTTGTTAAGGCAGAAACGTCGATAACATTACTAAAGTCAATCTTTTTAGCAACATCACATTCAATACGAAGCAAAGCCAAGTCTTTCAGCTAGCCATCATTCCTTGTGATTTTTACAGACCCACTTTGCTAGCCTTGAATAACTACACTGTTCGAGTCGACACCGTGGTTGCAGCCAAAAATTTTGACGGGTTCTTCAAAAACACCCCCACACCTTACTTCGGTACGCTCATGGTATCTTGAGATGGTGTTTAACAATCGTTGTTCAATGCATAAAAGTTAGAAAGAAAAAAGAAGTGGTATGTTGCAAAGCGATCCTTGTTCTCTTCGAAGCGATTTATCGTGGAAAGATATACAGTGTCCGCCTTAAGTATTGTTGTGTTGTTTTATGTAAATTGTCCTCGTTTGGTAGCTATTTGATCAGCAGGGGCAATTGCCCCCCCTTGCCCCCTGCCAGCATGCCACTGTAGATTTGATTGCTATAATGCTGAAATTAGACTGTCTGAAGATTCAGTTTTTGACTTTTCTTCATACTCCGACATGTTCAGTCAACTTAAATTTTTAAGAATCGAACATTTTCTATTTCTTTCGATTTAATCGAGATGTGGATGAATGGAATTTCACTTCACCACGCCTCTGCAAGCCTAGATTAAAGAAATAATGATAAAGTATTGCAGAATATCAAAACGATCGACAGAAAATCTTCAAAGCGCTTATCACACACCTCAGTTAGCAATTGCAATCGCTTGCCTCATTGTAGCTCAGATCAACCCTAAGTAAAGGGAGCTTTGACAATGAGGCATTTTGCTTTTTAATTTGACGCTTTTCAAAACTACAATCACTGCCAAAAGTCTTGGAACACTAACGTCAGTTTTCAAAGGCAAATTCAGCCACCCCCCTCTCTCCCTAAGAACAATGTTGATTTACTATAGAAAAAAGGAAGGGGTTGTGGAGTACGCTTTTTCGTGTGCCTTGTATGATATTTTTCTATACTTTCAACATTGTTTTGGGGGGAAAGGGGGACGGAAGTAGTTGTATTCGGGAACAAAAGTGGAAAATAGAGAAGCACAGCGCAAAGTGTTGGGTGTTCCAAGTAATTTTGGCAGTGATTGTAGAAATGTAGTTAAGCTACGCAGCGTTTTGCATAATAGTTGTCTTCTCGCGTCAAAGAGGCTTTCGATTCTACAAAAACTGAAGGGATGGAGATCTAAGTATGAACATTTGTATAAGACTCAAAAGGGAGTTTTAACGTGGGCTTTTATGGGAGCAGAGTTCCCTATGCCAGTAGGAAATAGATTCATATTTAAGCATCTTAGCCAACCATTTTAAAGAAGTGAACAGCCAATACGATTTTCCTCTGCTGAATCATGATTGTTATGTAGAAAAAAGGAGGAGGTAAAATTGCAGACTTTGTGTCGAGGGCAACAGTGGATATTTCCGACCTTGAAGGACTTCAGGTTTGCTCATATGGACTTACAGAATAGCATGCTGAAAGAATTGCCTCTCTGCTGTACTGCCTCTCACTGTTTGCTATTTTTGTCACAGACTTTTGCAGGAACAAAAGAAAATAGAGTCCAGAAATATGAAATAATAACCATGTGATATAATTTGATTAACTTTAAGTTACAAATCATCAAAAGAAGTCAATCCTTCCAAAATTCAAATCCAGACTCATTTATATTAAATAATGAATTTTCAACCACATTCCCGCTTTAAAGACTTCATACTGTCAGTCATTTTATCAGATAACATATAATGTTGCACAAATTTAAAAAATAGGTGCCACTATACTAAAGATTTAATATCAGCAAAGTCCCCATTTTTTATCCTGGTCATAATTCTTTGATGTAGCACACCAAAACTTTGAAAATCCAGTTGTTGTACAGGAGTGATAAACTTTCGTTTTGTATATAAACGGGAAGACGCAGCAATTTCCGTTAGAGTTTCCACCATGAGCTCTCTTTTCACACGGTTCTGAAATGTATTTATTTTGTTTAATGAATGGAATGAATGCTTAAGGTAATAACCGAGGTAATAACGACTGAAAATATTGAATTACAAGCAGTTTGTGAATTATATGTGTCTTGCCAATCATAATTATTTTGTGGTGAATCAAGTTGTCTAGAGAACTTAATTCCTGTTTCGAATCTAAATTTGCAAATTGAACAAAATTGTGAAAAAATGCTAAATTCTTGAATTACGAGTTAAACTCGCTAGAAATTTAGAGGATGCGTGCTTCATTTTAAAATAAAGCCTGAATTTGATATTGTCGTGCCGGATGTACATGTTTTTTCAGATAAGTATTTTTGTGTCCCACATGATTATTTGGGAACATTGAAGTAAGAAGTGAGTACGACAGATACGACCTTCACAACGCCATACGATTAGGAAATCTCAAACGACTAGGAAATCACATTCATCAGATACAACACGCACACCCGACACAACTATATTGAAACCAGGTTGCATACACCACAGTGATAAATATGGGGCAATTATAAAGTTTTATAGTGCCACTTGTGTTAATTTTCTAACTCGGGAATAGAATACCAATACAAACTGAAGGGCAAAAGCTCCCTCAAAAAACATGCCATAGACAGAAGGTTAGTCGTGAGGCTACGTTCTCACGTCTTCAAGAGTGAGTTGGGCCGTTGGTGCATCTGCGCAAACCTCCATTAGGAAGAGGTTACTAAGGAAAGTTACACAATAGTCCTAAAATTTGCTTTATAATGGGGAGGGAATGGATAAGAAAAGCCTTTTCCCCCCTTTAAGAGTCTTACGCTAAACAGCATAAAATACTAAACAGCATAAAGGATGCTCAAAGGTATAAGAGGTTTCAGCGATAACGTGAAAGGAACTCAAAACGCAAAGCTATACCGAAAAGTAATTTACATATAAAGAAACAAAATGAAAGAGGGAGGGCTCGGAAAATAAATACGCACTAGGCTACACCAAGCAAGGTGTTACCAACTCTAAGCCAAAACCTTAAATACTCCTAGATTAACCAAGACTTACCCTAGTATTACAAACCAAATACGCAGGAGGCCAAAATACTCCCCTGCATTGCAAATAAGCGAGTAGAGCGGAACGCGAGGAAGCGTGGCACAAGACACCAAAACGAGGCGAATAAGTTAAAGGTCAAATACCCCTCATAAAATCAACTCTGATTAAATTTCATTCAATCATTGAATTGGCCTAGCAAGTAACACGCTTCAAAATCTCTGGATATAATTAAACTTTTACCAGTAGAGCTCGAACGTAAGTAGACAAATAAACCAACTGGAAACTCTTAATATAGAATAATAGAATTCAGGAAAGAAGTGGGCGGCGAGGCAAAAACACACTTGGAGCAAAATGTTAGGCCCTTTCTCTGTGGGATAACGGCAAGTAATAAAGAAGGCTAACAAACTTCACATACCTATAGAGCATTCTTTTGCAACTGCAGTAGTAGCGTCGATTTTAACTCTACAGTAGGCAGCGTTGTTACTGTAATCTGACTCAGGAACGCCCCTCGTTGGGTTTACATTTATTCGAATGTTATACTCTCCATTCGGTACATCTGTTATATCGATCCACTGGCAATCAATATTGTTTTTGTAGTTATCTGCACACCGTACTGATATTGCTTGGTCTCCTTTATTTTTGCAATTGTAAAACTTCTCCACTCCATCGTCGCATTCTGAGTCTTCTAGGCAAAAACTTGCTTTGTGTCCCTCAGCTATTTTCGTTTGCTTATCATCTGTGATACCAAAAGGAAATGAAATTAATGTTTACCTATTCCATACGCAAATTTCAAATTATGTTTACTTTTGGAAATGTAGCTCCGAATTCGTATACTCCAAATGCTGCTATACTCTGAATATTAAGAGGGTCAATTTCTTGAGTATGACAAGAAGTAACTTCAGAATATATAACTGGTAGCATTCTCTTAAAATAATTTTTGACAATAGTTCCCCCAAAACCCTGATCTCGTAAAAACTATGACAGAACTCGATGATCCTGTGCTTTTTTGCTAAGGATTGAACAACTTATAACGAGGATTGTGGTTTTTTGCTATAACGATTTAATGTTGTGAAAGAAAAAATACTCACTGTTTGCCATGCTGTAATATAATGCTCGATGCCGTATTGGCAGAGCTGTGCACACTCAAATGTTATAAAATATATATGAAAAAATGTTATACCAAATATCAAAATTATGTATCTCAATCTTGGGCTTTGAGCTTTTGGAGTTTTTACGTTCTTTTCCTACCTCACTTTAAACAAAACATTTTTGCTGTAATAGGAGTACCTATCAACAAAAGAATTCTTACCTATAAGATCAAAGTCTGCGAATCTTTCCATTGAATGGTAGTGCGCATGACAATCATGCCATTGCCAGTCCTCTTTTTTGACGTTGGTAATAAAATCAGCTGTACCGCGGTTCCAAAACCTTGCACTGAACCGCAGAAGTTTCCGCGTGTAGATCTCGGGATACGTATGCATATACCAATTGGCTGTAGATGCAAGACAGCCTTCATCAAAGGCGCAAGCCAGTTGAGCAAGATAAGGGTTTTCAACCTGAAAGCTGTCTTTAAGGTAGAAATAATCCATCACCAGATCAGGAGCCTCTGCAAGGATTTACAATACAAATTTAAGATTAAGTCAATAGAGCTTATAAATAGTCACCAAGTAGCCTCTGTTTTTGAGGAGACTTTATAAAAAAGGGAAACAAGCTAAATTGCCTTCGCGTTGATACACCGTTTTCATTGATAAATGTAGGTTTACCTGTAGTAAATTTTTAGATTATGTTCTCTTAATTCATAATATTAATCAAGTTTAAACATGAATATTTTTGTTGAATTTTCACTTCAGTTAAACAGTAATAAAACATGAATATGCTGACTCAGGTTTCCCATTATATCATCAAATCAAATTAATCTCTTGTCCTAGATTTTCGAAATTATTTGAAAGGTGTCCTATCCTTTTTACAAAATGGCTACTTGTGGACTTGACGTATCTAATGGTCTCTTGCAAGTACAACTCTGAAGTTTCGTTTTGCATTGGTTGCATTTGGAGGTGTACTTTATATACTGACATGTACTTTATGACGTAATCTTAAACGCCTGCCAAATGCTTGAAAACGGTTTGCCTTTACCAACCTTATCGATTCTTATCAAGATAACATTCATAAAACATTATAAACATTCTAAAACAAAGCTTTTGCAAAAAAGTCAGCAGCTTTCATAGTTTCCACTGTTGACGAAAGTGGCTGATCAGCTAGGGCATGCTTCATAATGGCATGGAAAGCAGAATAGCTAGCAAAATCTCCGCATCGATAACCCAGTACAGATGAGTTTTTATGCCACAGTAACAAGCGATTTCATTTGTCTTATATTGATGTCATAAATTGTCAACACTTTTGAGGCACACTAGATTTGCCTTTCCTTTTTTCAGATGTCTTTGGGTACTGCTGCTTCAATACAATAGTTCGAAGGCTTGGAAACAATGCATAATTTCTTTGCGATTCATTCAAGTTCAAGGGGTTTTCTGCATTTCTTCTTGATTGAACTACTCGAATGAACTTAGCATGCCCTTTGGAGGACAAAGCCAGTATGCATTGAAAAAGATATGTCCGTTATCCTTGAACTGAACTGTCTGAAATCTTAAACAACAATTCGGCCAGAGATATAAATTGACAGTAATTCAAGTTAGGCGAAGGGTACAAAATTCCTTCTTCAAATCTGCTATTAACAGAACCTTGACATTATAATGTTCTGTCCTTTCCTTTCTCAAATGAGAGAATTCTGGGCATAAGCGTTATGATTATTCTTCTTTGAGGTATATAAGCATTGAAATAACGACTTGAATTTTGCCATTGCGACTAATTCAAAAATTTTCAAGTATCGGTAATGTGATCCTCAACCATCACATCCCAAACCCCCACAGCCCACATCCTCGGAATTTACGTGCCTGATGCCTGTTCTTTCCTGTAGCTCGTACCTCTGATTGACAAGGCCTATTCTGTGTAAATTTTGACAAAAGAAAACGTATTATTCCGTAAAGACACATAAAAATACCTGAAATTCGGGGTTTCAGCAACTTGTACTGGTAAAATCATTCTGGAACAGGTGAAATCAGTCTGGGATGGTTAGAATTAATTCCAAGACCGAGGTGAAAACATCTTATCACCATTATGAATTTCTGTAACTACACTGCGAAGGAGGTTTGAACAACGCCTATCGGGAATGACCCCTCATCCTTTAACCATGGCAAGAACAAGGTGGTTATACCTGCAGTGAGGTTTTAAAATAAAGATAAATTCTACTTACTTTTGCTGCATTCGACACTAGCCATATCATAGTATCTGCAACTGCCACGAAAATAGCCAGTATGATAACAGTCCTTCAAGGAATTCTCGTCGCCAGAGCATCGCACGTTGTGCATTGCAAATTTATCTGCAAAGCCTTTATAAGAAAGGATAGACGGGTTAGAAGTTGCATGGAAAATGTAAATTGTCAAACAAAATTGAATGAACAGCTTGAAGACGTGGAAGGTACACCGTAGCTTGTATTAACGACACTAAAGCATTGCAATAATGCCTTTAAGTAGGCGTTTAGGTCGAGAAGTAATCACTATATCCCTGTGTTACGATTGAGTTCAGTGAAAGTTACGATTGGAAATCAGCGAGAGCTTCGATTTAATAGAGCCCTACCTTGAGAGGCTGGATTCGAAGGTCGGGGGGGGGGGCGTGGGAGATACCTTAATGGGTTTTGAGGTACGGGGTCGTGCCATTAGGGGTTCCTTTTTCTGAAAAGTGCAGAATTATCAGTATCAAATTTTTAAATATTTACGGAATTATGGGTAGCATTTGAATAAACATACAGAATTATGAATACCATTTGAAGACAGATACAGAATTATGGGTACTATTTTGAGAAAATATTGCAAAATTATTAAGAGGGAAATTTAGCATTCATCATGCTTGCGGAACCAAAATGGTACGTCCCCGTCCAAGACTAGGTTTAGATACCCTCCATAAGCTTTGAAGTTCAAACGATACCCTATGACTGTGAAATAACACAATTTCTACTCTAGACCAAGCAAAACAATTACCTTATTATTGATTATTATATACAACTTTCATCAAACTTTCAAAACGATCTTACCAAATTTGCTTGTTGTGAAACCGCGAACTGCATAGCCAAGACCTAGCTCTCGACAGAGCACCTCTGCAGCTGTGTTTCCGAAACCAATCCCGCAAATACCATACCATTTGTTGTTAACTTTAACCTCCACACGGCCAGTCATATTATTCGGTCCACCGACGAGGCGAAACTACGAAAGTATCAGAATGCTTGTTCAGTTTTCATTGTTGTCGTCTCTTATACGATCACTATGATTGTGATACAAGTGTGAATTTGAAATCGTAGGTGATACCCTGAATGTTGCCCGGAAATAAACGTAAATGATTATTATGATTAACCGTAGTTGTTAGGGAGACGAGCAACAGAAATAATTATTTTGAACGAGGCGACCCTCGCTTTGGGAGTCAAGTATCTTGGGTATTGAACTTAACCATTATTAATTACCTAGCACTTGTCCATACGTGCTTTTTGCTGGCTACTTCATTGATATATCTACTTCAGCATTGCTGCATACGAATATTAATTAAAATACATGAAACCTCAAAATAATATACCCTTCTGGTAGTAAGAGGCCCTAATTAGAAATTCTTAACATAATTTCTATCATTTTTATCTTGATTACAATTAGTGACGATAATCCTTAAAGCTTTCTTTCTATTTATGACTTCTGTATGTTTTTTGGACATCCATTTATTACGTAACTCGTACGATTAACAATAAGTCCTTTAGACCTTAAGCTCTGTTTTGAAAAAAATTAACAATTTCTAGCGTAAAAGGGACAGCGCACCACCGTCCTCCCAATACACGATGTGCTGTAGAGCAAAATATTATAACTGTCCGACAAGGATCCATTTGATAAAGGAGCTTATAGAATCGAATAAAAAGCATCGTTTGGTGAGGAGAAGAGGTGCTTTAGACAATGTGAACAAATTGGGCGTGGTGTACCAAAATTTCTGCCAGTCGTTTTGACAGGCAAAGGGAGATTCGATGAATACGTTAAAAGACAGTCAAGAGTGTGCATGCTTACATCTGGCTTCTGAGAATGAGGGTGATGGCATCGAACCCCGGCGTCTTCGTTGTGACCACAGTCGGATTGTTTCCACCCGCCATGAGCACAATTTCTGACGTCATGCTCATTACCAGTGCAATTAACCTCATCCATCCATATCTGCAAGAGATGCTTATGTTCGTTGAGAAAGTTAAACACGTTTGTTTAGGTCTCTGGCCAAGAAAAACCTGGACTATTTACTATCTATAACCTCTTTAATATCTCACGTAAATTTATCCAGTAATCGTTGGTACTAACGTGTATATTTAACCCTGACCAAAATTAAACCTTTGCAAAGGAATCAACTCGGTAATTGAAGATTCAATGGCTTTTCAATACTGCATCTGTATCCATATAGTAAATTCTGATGAAAGAAAAGAGTTTACCAAATTGATTTTCACATGATAAATAGACAAAGTAAAGCTTCAAGCTTTACACTGCCCAGAGCGTCTTTCTTATAACGTCTCAGCACCATGTCTCAATTCAACTAACTGAAAATCAGTTTACTTACAAAAAATATACTACAATACGCTAAAAATGCAATGGCGTGATTTTTTGCACAAGAGAGACTGTTAAAAAGGTTTTTTTCAAATTGATAGATTGGAAGGTACTAGAACTGGGCAATTTTCTTGCTTTCAAATATACTATAGTATATCATTTTGTATTTGTTTCGTTTACATCTTGCAGCTTTGAAAACGCATTATAAATATTGCAAGAAATAAATGACCTTAGTTAACTTCCATAAAACCCGATATAGTTTGAGAAGAAATCTTAAGATACGCTTTTGATCGATCCACATTCAAATAACGCAGGTAGAAAGATATTCAATCAAACAGAAAAGTGAGATTGATCATTTTCCAATAATTCTTTTGTAGAGGGAGCTTGGAGTGCCAATTGTAGTTTGTATAATAATCCACTTATAAACGGACAGGTTAATTTAAAGATGGCTAGATCACTAAAAGGATCTAGCAGACAGCGGATTGTTTGAAGAGGGAAGGAAAAGTATTAGAACCTGGCAAAGTGAACAATGAATGAGATTTATGTCTCTACACAAGAAGGCGAATGAAATCAGACATTTTTCTAATGCACGGAGGCTACAAAACTCTATATGGTCTCTTGATCACAAATCTCAGCTTGTAAATGACAACTGTCACTATATTTTTTGATCAACGATAAAAATTGCAGGACATAAGAGAGCTAAATTTTGATGGAAATACTTACGAATCTCTCTGGTGACATAAGACGCTCATCGTCTTGGATTTTGTGTCCAGTTCTTTTAAAACTACAGTTTGCTTTGGAATGGAGCTCCCAAACTGTTCCACGCAGAAGTGTCAGATTACTTATGAAAAGGTCTTTATGACTTGAATAGCTTATGAACTTCTATACATTACTAACATACTAACCAATATAAGGCAGCGTATCAAAGAAATACAAGGAACAAATATCAGGACTATCATTAAGGTAACATACCCTGCCGAATCCAGCCCCAATGCCGGCATCGCGGACCGCCTCGTATGCTGTTCCAAACCCTGCCTGTCTACAAACAACATTTGCATCTCTGATGTCCCAGTTGTCATCACATATCGTACCCCATACACCTTCGCGGAAAACTTCTACTCTTCCCTCTGAATAACGGTATCCGGCCCGCAAACGGATTTCGTGAGCCTGGCATAAAAAACATGCATTAAAGCAGCGGCGGATCCAGAGCAAATTTGAAGGAAGGGCAGTTGGTAGTGGGGGCACTGAAAAATTTTCAGAAATTGGCGACGGCTGTTCGCTGTATACAACAATTTAAGACCCTAACTACTGACAAAAGGCTCTATTCACCTTGTAAGGGGAATTTCACAATATTTTTCACATTATTCACCTTGTAAGTCTCAGAAACCTGATTCTCATTCTTCAAAAGCGGCGCACAGTTTCCGAAAAAGGGGCGCAAGATTTGCTTATAATCGGTGAAGGAGGGGCAACTGCCCCTAGTTGCCCCCCAAATCCGCCACTGCATTAAAAAATAGCACCTCTTATTTATCAGATTAAAGTGCTCGTTAAATTATTTTTTAAAAAATTCAAACAAAGAATTCGTGTTTCGAAAATATTTTGCAAAATTCTCTGAGAAGGTGCAAGGGATTTTCCTAACCATCATTATATGACCACATATCTCAGAATATGTTACTCCAGGAATGAAAAGTACTAACTTAAGCAGAAAAATTAATTGTCAGTAAATAAAAATATTTTCTGATAAAAACTTACAGATTATCTGAAAAATTTCAGAGCAGTAGCTGACAATATTTTTAGCAAAGAAAATGTCAATGATGCGGTAATATGTAAAGAGGAACATATCTATGAAGCCCAGCTTCTTAGTGCCTTAATATATGCCTTGAAACCGCTTACTATCGCTGATACTCCTTGAGAGCCTACAATGCCTGCCAAAAGTACTTGGAACACCCAGCAATTTACGCTGACTTTGATATCTCTCATTCCTTTCATGAAAAAAAATTACCTAAAACATTGTTGATGATTTAGAGAAATATCATAAAAGAAGTTCAAAAGAAAGTGCTTCCTAAAATCCTAACCCGTTTGATAGTAAACCAACATTGTTCTGTAGGGGAGAGGAGGATGATTGATCTTAACCTTGGAAATTGTTGCCCGTGTTCCAAGACTTTTGGCAGGCATTGTACAGCAGAGCTCTCTTCGTGCACCTCCCAATTACCAAGGGTATACCCAGCTGCTAACGAGCTTTCAGCTGATAGCCAACACAGTTGCACCAAATAAATCCTACATTTCCTGGAAACACAAATAGTTTCCAACTTGCATTGCATTACAATCACGCACCTGTATTGTTGCTAGGTCTATCTGATCACCTCGAAACATCGGTGACATTTGGCACCGCAAATAAACTGGATTATTATTACGGCATTTGTGAGATCCCCAGCCAGCGTGATCACATTCTATCAATGTTGATTCATATCCTGTGCAACGAAGACTGCGCATCCAAAAGTAGGGAACTGCCTTGTACTTCATGCTGGGTGATTTGCCTGCGTTTTCCTGAAAAATGGAATTTCATGGTTATCATTGCTAAATCTTAGCAGCCAGATAAAAAGTTATGTAAATCATCGGCAAATATTGTATTGAACAGTTAATGGATTAATATTGAAGAAAGTTTATTGACATCTCACATTAAACTTGTAGTTGACGTGCGAAGGAGGTCATGTTAATACTTCTCTGTATGCTTATGATAACGAGAAAGTATGACTTATATTGAGACTAGGCCTTATAATGAGAAAATATGCCTAATTATGAATCATTAACATTTTAGCAGTGATTGCACTCCATAAACAAAACGCAAGAACCAAATTGTTGATTGACTTAGCGCGGGCCACAGAATATGCCCCCGGGCCACACCTGACCCGCAGGTCGTATGCTGGACACCTCGGGTAACTCGAATGGCTGATAAAAACATAGATTTCTCGAAATAAGTTTTTTTTCTAGGTCACTAGAATTCCTGCCAATCTTCCTTGGTGCAACAGTTGTTTTGAAAAATATTGTTTAAGTATAAACGTTAGACCTTGCACCCTTGTACGGTACTTTTTCTTTAATATTTGTTCTGTTGATCAATAGTAATCTTTAGTGGACAGTTTAGGATAGTAGAGAACTGGGACCGAGTTAGATTTAATTAGAGAAACTTTAGCGAGCACGAGGTAATGAGAAGAGAATTTAGCGAGCACGAGGTTATATAGTGAATATTAGGTATCAATGTGATTTGTGTACGATACAACTCCGTACACCCTGTCTCTCCCAAAATAATATTGACTGCAGAGTGAAATATCATCTGAAAGGATAAGATTGGACCAGACTTTTTCTCAAACATTACACAAAGCAACAGGGGGAGAGAGGGAAATGCATTAGGAAATATTCAAAAATCTATTTTTATGTGCTAAGAAGTCTGGGAGAGAATGTAGAAAAAGTAGTTTCTGGCATCATCATGCAGTGTAAAAAAGTGTATAATTATTTTCGCAGATACCTGAAACCAAAATGTCGATAGGTGGACGCAGCTAGCTGTATTTGGAATGAAAATGAATAAACACGAAGGAACAGGGTGAATAGATGAGGTTTTGCTTCTTCTAAAGAGCTTTGGAACAATTGTTCAGCCGTGGATTTCTAGTTGATCCCTTTGATGTCGGTAAGTCAGAGCTCCAATTTACTTACTACATTCATTATTTTATCCATTTAGCACCTCTAGTTGCGAATCGCGAATCTATCAATTATGGCTTTTGTGTGAATTAATGTTAAAATTGTGTGTCTCTTTAAAATTCCTTATTTGAATGTCTGTCCAAAATAAGGCTTCTTCACATTCATCTGTGTCTGTAACATAACCACAACGTGTTCACCAGATAGCGCTTGGGTGGAATATGATCGATAACTTGGCGTCAGAATAAATGATCTTTATTAAAGGATGTTCCAGTTTTGATTAAAAAGATGTTTATTTTGGAATAAGTTGATGAAAGAATGTGATCAATCATGAGGAGAAAAATGATAGTTTCACGAAAAAGCTTATCTGATGCACCGCAAAGTTTAGCTTTGATAACAAAGATGGCCAGATAGCCATTCGCAGATTTCCTTATTCTTCTAACATGAATATGTCTGTTATACCACAATGTTTCATTATTTACCTGGACAACATCATATAGTAACATTTATGATTAAAGTTATTCGTATAAGCCTAGGCCCATTCAGAGATATTCAATGGTATTTGTAATAAAAATATAATTTGAGGAATGTCAATAATTGGTTTCATTTACAAATTCTGTGGGTAAACGGATTTTCAGGAAAAGATCCCACCCAGAATTTTCGAAATCAACTGATTGCATTGCTATGACTATTCTCTAAGTCACAAATCCGATGATTCGCAGACATCCGGCTTTTTTACAAAATCCTTACGAGGAAAGGTCTTTGGCTTAGGTAGCAAGTGACCAACGTTTTTGTTTTCCCTACCCCAGTAGGGCAGACTGGGGATGCTCCCGGTCTTTGTGGTATAATTACCCAGAAGTGCATTCTAATGCTCTACGTATGCTAGAAAAGTAAACTAACCAAAGCATCTGGGTATCCAAGGTTGCCGCATGCCACGTACGCGTCAGCAGCTGTCCATCCGTCGGAACAAACTGCACCCCATCTGCCTTTGTGCAATACCTCCAAATATCCATATGAAATATAACCTGACGAGTCACTTCCAATAAGGCGCAGCTCAGTTTTTGCAACCTAAAGTGAATAATATATATATAAAATATAATAACAATAATATTAAATAATTTGTGTAAAGTTGGCGTACTAAATGAACGTCTAATAACTATAAAGAAGCTAATTAAGGCCAACTATCTATATAGAATTAGTATTAAATGAATATATGATACAATATTAAAAATGTTTTTGCAACGACTGATATGGTATAGCGATATAATGTTTATACAACGTTACAATATTAAAAATGTTTATGGTATAATGTTCTAAATAAAATCTAACCCAGCAATAAATATTTTACACAATCTACAGTCGCATTCTATAGGGTGTGCTCTTAACTATTTTTTAAATGTTGCCAATGATTGTGACTCTCTTATACTGTGAGGTAGTGTTTGCCACAGTTTTTGACCTAAATATCTCACAGTTTCTATATCATAAGAAATTGTCCTGGCTTTTGGAATGCAAAGATTATTTTTTGTTCGCAAATCATAATGTACATTTCTTGTTTCAAAAATCTCACTCATGAAACTAGGGTTCAGGTTATGTTTGGTTTTGTATATTTCTATCATCAAGTACTGTAGATTGCGTTGGTGAATTGATACTGCATTATCGAACGTCAGCAATGCTTCGTAGTCAGCATGGCTGTCTTTATTAACAATTCTGAGTGCTCTTTCGCGGATTTTATTCACTTTAGCATTCAGACATCTGTTATGGAACATCCAAATTAGGGGGCAGTAGCTAAACTGAGCTTTTATGAAGCTGTTCATTAGGAGACGCAGTTTATCAGAACCCATAAATGGCGATACTCTAACAAGGGCATGCAGTTTTTGGCTGGCTCTTTTGCATAAATTTGAGACGTGACTTTTGAAATTAAGATTTTTATCTATTATCACCCCTAGCAGTTGTTCTTCAGAGCTTTCTTTAACAATGGCCCCGCCGATTTTGATCTTAATGTCATCTTGGTTTGTTCCAAAAGTAAGAAGATGACATCTCCCTGCATTCAATTTCATAAAGTTTTCTGGAAACCATTTTGATAAAATAAGAGCATCAGTTTCTAGCCGTTCTAAAACTTTATCCAATTGACAGTCAGCTGCGAAAATCGTAGTATCGTCAGCAAAGTTACATACTGCAGTATCAGTTACCATTAAGAATAAATCATTAATATGTGAATCAAATAGAAGAGGCCCAAGAACTGATCCTTGTGGTACACCTGCAAAGGTTTCTCGCCAAGTGCTGAATGAACCATTTAATTTCACCCTTTGTTTTCTACCGGACAGGTAATTATAAATCAATAGTTGAGCATCTTTACAGTCAAACGCTTTTGAAAGATCCATTAGCAAGGCACCAACCACCCCTTTTTTATCTAGGGAATTCTTACAAATATCCATTAATCTCAACAGCGCATGCTGTGTGTTGAAACCTTTCCGAAAACCACATAAGTGGGGAACTAAGAACATATCCGCAAAGTCAACCATCTGAGCATATAGAAGCCGTTCAAAGACCTTTGATAATGCGGCTATAACTGTGATAGTTCGATAGTTTTTTATTGAAAATACATATTGGCAAGATTACGTCAGTAAAAGAAACCGTCACCCCTCCTTCATTTGAGTCATTTAGGTAGCAAGCACGCTGCAACCAATCTTCCCAATGCGCTCTCGTTTGATCCTTTACGTTCCAGAGAACAACTTTTGCACCCGGACGGCACGTGTGAACAAAACTGCTCCAATAAAGGGAGTTCATCAATGAGTAGCGGGCAGGATCGTTTATTAGAAAGTAAGACTTAACAACGAAGGGCAAAGTCTGTTCTAATAGATGTATTCAATCATAGATATATTTATGCTTCGGATATAGATTTGTAACTGTTATATTTCAAACTAAACTATGTCATTAACGTATCTCTTTAATGCAACAATTCTTTGCGTAGAAATATCTAAATTGCATGCCGTGCCATACAAAACGTAGCCATGAAACAACAGACTGCTACGTGCAATCTTTGGCCCATATTGTCTGAATGTAATGGGACATGTCTGACCGAGTAAGAAACCATAAAACGAATAAAATAGGTTTTCATCTTTTAACGAAGTGAAAGCCAAATCTTTGGTTGATATAGGGCAGGTCAGTCCCGTGACGCAGAACATGACTGAACTTATGACAGTATATGTTGCGAAATCCGTTTAGGTCTATAAAGTTACCAGAAAACTCTCATACCGCATCTTTAGCAATATACAAAAATACTTGATAGCAGTTCAGAAACGTCCAGAAACCTCTTTTAATTCAATTTCACTTCAATTCCACGTAGAAGATTTCACTTCAATTCCACTCTAATCATTTTCAACATCAGAAAATCTGAATTGTAAATTGTGAATTTTCAATGAGTTGTAATTCAATGAAAAGTAAAATACTTTGGTCTGTTAAATTTAGAAACAAGAGAGAAGTTTTCACGTCCCCTTAGCAATTTAAGCAATGGCATAGATAAGGAAATTCATAGGAGGGGGAATGAATTTAAATTTTTTTCGACAAAAATCCAACAAACATTTTTATTGTGTTCCATAAATTTCAACATAACATAACGAAATAAGAACTGTAAGAAAACAGGAGATAAAGTCTCATTATTCACTAAAAGTTAAGTCTCATAAATCATACTAATTGAAGATTTTCTAGTCTTCTATTCAAAAAAGGCATTTTCAAGTACCATGACCTTATTGAAAAATTGCCAACATGACGCAGAATAATGTTATATTCAGCTTTGAAGTCTTTCCTCTCAAAATGTAACACTGAGATAAAAAAATTGACATCCATGTTTAATTTTCAACAAGGTTAAAAAATTTCCGACGAAATAACTGTTTAGGTTTACAGGAAGTTTTTTCGGCCACCCCACCCCCCCCTCCCTGTCCGCCTATATCTACGCCACTGAATCTAAGGATTACTGTTGTTATGGTTTGGCTAGTTAGCCTGTGCTCCAGACCCCTAACTTGAAATAGGGGTCTGGAGCACAGGCTATGGCTAGTAAGCTGAAGTACGAAGGCAAAACTGCAGTAGTCAGAGAGACTTTGTTATATAAGTACTTCTCAGCCATTGCTCGATAGATTCCTGTGTTTTGTCACATTGTAACGTTTGAAAATAACAAGGGATTTCTTACTCTAATTTCCCTGAGATACAATTTAAAATCATTACCTCGCCACTTGCTTTCGAAGGTACTGGTTTGGTAGGACCCTTGTCCGTTTCGTTCGAACAAATGACCCCGGCCTCCTCGTTTGGCTTGCAATTATGAGATCCAATTTTTCTACTATAACAGTATCCCAGATTCTCCTCGTGACCATAGCAATACAGGTCATCTAGCCAGTAGCTGAAATTTGAAGATCTAGGATATTTTCCCCTAAAAAAGCAAACCAATCACTGCGTTAGACAGTTGAAAAACATATTGCCTATGGGCAACGTATCAAACCTAACAAAGCTACGAAATATCCGTTATTAACAAAGAATTAACAAAGTCAAATTCGTTAAAAATTGGGGCAGCTACATAAAATTTTCCAAACACAGGAGTATGAAAGTGTGATCAACTTCAACCATCTTTTGAAATCCATGCCACACTTTAAAACATTAAGAAAGAAAGTAAGGCGTCATTATTGGTGAGTTGTGTCTTTTCGATATTTAATTGCTTTGCTAGTTATCTGCTTTCGTTTAAACTTTATTTTGCGGCGCGATCTAGGTAAGCCTGCTTCATTTGTGTCGCACAGAATGAGTAGTTTATCATTATCACTTTTAATATTACTATTAATTTGTGAGCAAAATTGAATTGAATTGAACTGAATCGAACTGAATAGCAATGAAAATCGGCCCAGGCCTTTGTTGACAAGGTCTTAACTTACCTTCTGTGTTTGATACACAATTTGGAGGGGTCGTTTTCAGAAAATTAACTCGAAATTTTCGGGCAAATTTTTGAACTTATTTTCGCCTTAATAGCTAAACAAATGTAAAAAATTTACAAAAAAACTATACTGCCAGTGTTTTCGAAATATTAAGATTAATTCAAAACTTCTGGCACTAAAAGGACTGAATTCGAGGTTTGCAGTTTAATCAAAACTAGAGAGGGGAGTATTAATAATTCCATTCAATAGAACTCAGAAGGAGAGCAAGTTATCCTGTTCTAAAATTGGTATGTAAGGAGCTAGATATAAAACAAGTGAATAAGAGGATCTTAATCAATTTCCAGGATGTCCCATCTGCTAGCTATTGGGTTGGAATGCGTCAAAAGGATCTAGATTAAGCATGGATCCTTTACATCAAACAACTCGTCTTTACGCAAATCCTCAATCCATTTGCTTGTATTCTAAGTTCAAAGCGGACTATAATCCTGCAGTTTATTTAATTTTATGTAAATTCGAACAGCTCAGTTCGTGGTAGCTCAACGGATTCAGTCTGGGAAATTCTATTCATGATTCTGGGGCATTTTCAATACTTATTTCCTTTCAATAGATATTGTCATCGTCTGTGTTTGCAGCTCTAAAAAAAAGGTTAATCTCGAAAGATTCTGACATTCGTCATTAGTATCCTCAGGTCATGATTGTCCAGATATCCAGGCTGTTCATGCCGCTTCATACAATGTCATTTTGAATGGAAGTTCTATCACTGGTCCATGCGAAATCTTGAAATCTTGACACTGGGTTCTGTTTCCAAAAGTGACGAAAAATATTGAACAATGCACGACTTCGTTCTAATGATCGTGCTAAGCAACAGTATCAAGGTTTTTCGTCTTTGAACTACAATCACTGCCAAAATTACTTGGAACACCCAACACTTTGCGCTGTGCTTTGTTCATTTGTTTTCCCGAATACTACTACTTCCGTCCCCCTTTCCCCCCAAGGCAATGTTGAAGTAAAGAAGAAATCAAACAAGCCACAAGAAGAAGCGTACTCCACAACCCCTTTCAATTTTCTATAATAAATCAACATTGTTTCTAGGGGGAGAGGGGGATGGCTGAATTTGCCTTTGCAAACCTACGTTAGTGTTCCAAGACTTTTGGCAGTGATTGTACATATCCTGGTATCCTTTTGAAAATAGAGCCCTTTTTAATTTCATTGTTCAAAGGAAAGACGACGTATGTGGGTTTTTAATGACCCGGTTTATTTTTCAGAATCCGTCATTTCAATAAGTACTTTCTAGAAAGGCATGTTTTGCAATGCTGATTGGTTTATATTCAACTAATTTCTTTTGGTTTCTATGGGTTTTCTATTCTGATTGGTTCATATTCTCAACTACCCGCAAAAATTCTAATATACCAGGTCCTGCATGTTTTTTGCCACAGTGTTTAGTTGCTCTCTCAAAACTAGTATATATTCTCTTGGTCACAGAATGTGCGGAGAAAGAGTGGTACGGGTGTGTGCGGAGGAAAACTCCGGAGATCGCACTGCTAAAAAACATAGCAATTATCTTTGTTAAAGCAAATACGGAGATTTTTGTTGGAGTGCGACCTCAATTTAGTCGATAATGGTGCCAATTTACTGAATAAAAGCCAGTGAAGAGCGAAAATCCTCCCTCACTTTTAATTTCTTTGTGGCACTAATGGAAATTTGAAATCAAGACCTAAATACTTTGATAAACTTTCTCAAACCTCAAAACTTATGATGAGTTACAAGTTGGTTTTCCAATTGAAAAGTCAGTCAATTTCTTTAGCAACCTAAGCAAGTTCGTTTAACCACCACTATCTTTTCGACAATAAAATCACTTTACTATCACGTTGCCTGGACATCTGATCCCACCAAATGTACCTAAATTTAGTGACAGAATAAATTTGTGAAAAGCTTAACGAAATTTCATTCAATTGAAGCATTATCGAACGACAAAGACATTAAATCTTCGAACGCTCTTCAATTTAATAACTGCAACCTCAACAAATCTCTTCAGCCTTGCTCCCATCGGGTCTGTTGCTGATCTCGCTTTTTTTATTAATCTTACCACGGCCATTGGTTGCAGGAGATCAGAGATATGGTTTCAGGTCCTCTGAGACATGCACGCAATACCAGACACTCTTCCAGTGTTCACCCTTTCCAAATCTCTTTGCCAAACGCACTAACTCAACCCCATAACTCTTCCTTCCTCCCTAGGTCTTGTAAAATTTGAAATACTCTACCCCCTTCTTGTTTTCTAGACTCTTACAAACTGTCTTTATTCAAAACTAAAATAAATAAGCTTAGTTTTTCCTCTCTTTCTCTTTCTTCCTAATCCCTTCTTATTTCCCCTTGCTAGAGCGTAGCTATGTGCACTAGATCCTTTCCCTAGCATTACCAACTAAGAAAATTGAATACGTGACGAATCTTAACTGCCTGAATTGAGGTCATCATTGGAACCTACCACCCCCCCCACCCCCTCAAAAAGAATGCCTTTGTTGCAGACGTGTAGAGTTGAAGGGCTTAAAAGTCTGAACATCCTTTTTCGAGAAACGACTAGAATAACAAATCCATGTATCTTTCTTTGTAAGAATAAAATTGATTAAACCTTATTTAAAAGGATACTTTAAAAGGACAACCAGCTTCATTCGATTCCGCCATTTTGTCTTTTGGCTGAACGGATTTTCTATGTTTTTAATTATGCGAGAAATATTGATAGCCCGTTCATGAATTGACACTTTTTGACATCCTTCTATCAATTGATTAACAAAGATTATAAACAATCCGATTTGTACTATAGCAATATGTTTATATGTTCTTATGAATGTATTGCGAAAAAGCTTCATAAAACATTTTGGTTTTCAGGGCAAATACCAGATATAGCCATTAGCCCTTAAGGAATAACACTGGATTCTGCGGAGAGCGTACAAAATTCTTATGTAATCACTTACTGTGAACAGAGTTTCTTCATGATTGATAACACAAGAGGTCTTGTTTTGGAATGACTGCCGAAGCTATTATTGCTTTCTTTGGAGGAGGGGGAGGGGGTGGGGCTCGCTCCTCCCAAAAAATTATAAAAATCCTTTCTTTTCAAACAACGATGGTTTCTATGGTTCTCAAAAATGGTGTCCCAATTAATCCTACCGTTCGCGGCACTGCCTGTTAAAAACTTTCCATTATGCTAACAAGTTTTGTGTAGTATACATAAGAAAATATGTTGTAAATATGTTCTTATCATAATTACTCGAATATGGGGAACCGATGGTGGTCGCTGAAAAATCATGAACTGATCGGCAGTTGCATTGTCGGTGTTATGAAATTGGCTTTTTGTCCCGAAAGTGTCCACTATGACACTTACAGTTTCCTGCTGTAGCATTTCTTCGTGTCACGACCAATCCTACTTTTACTAACCACTAACCATTTGCCTGCAAGTCAACTAGCTTCAATGTTGTGTGTGTTACGTAATGACAGCAATAAGAATTTGGTTTGGTGAAAAATTTCTCAGACACCTCTGTCTCACTGCTAAATGAAATGAATAGGTAGTGCGGGCAATGATAGAAATCAAAGGACTTAGTTACTATTTTAATGTGTTTTATATTGTAACATGTCATTCTTAAGTTCTTGCTTTTCATTAACGGGTAATCGAATGATACACGAGCCCGAATCGCAAGGAATTCACCGGTCAATGTTAAGTTATATAGCCAAGGTAGAACCGGTAAATATAATTGTGTGTACCCAATCATGTGTATGTAGAAATGTTTTTTCTATGGTTTTAAATTTGAACAAAAACTTACTTGACTGTAAAATTGACTGGCCTTGAAAAACCCAACTGACGGCAAACGACCTTTGCCTCTCTTTCATCGAAATGATCGTCGCAGACATATCGCCATTCTCCTTCGAAATACACTTGCACGTTGCCTTCATTCGTTGAATTGCCATCCGCGAGTCTTAATTGAACTTTTTCTGAACTGCAGACAATTGCAAAGAATAGACAGAAAAATACTTTTACGAGGTTTAACATATTTCTTGTCGACGATATTACAGTGACGGACTAGCGCTCTTGAAGGCAGCGGAGACTGTCTGCAGTTTGCACGACAATGTAAATAGTACAATGTAAATCCAAGGTCAGCTTTCTTGTGTGTAATGTGTCAACAAATGTAAAACATACCGATGGCGATAAGCGGTAAGTGGAAATAGATTATTAATTGAAGGGGATGTCACTCAACGGTGTTGACAAATCAAGAGAATAAGACAATAAAGGCGACTTCCTTGCGATGAAAGATTGGTCGTAAAATTGGACACTCCCAGGAACCGATGTACAGAAGAAAAGTAACCAAAACTTTTCAGTTACACAAGACGTGAGTTCCTGCATGGAACACAATATCACACTGATTCTAGCTGTTATGATCGAAGCTGCCGCGAAGGCTGCAAGGCAAATCGTTACTTACACTCTTTTTTATAAGGCCAGTAAATTGTAATTTCAGTGCCGTCGGAACGAAATTTATATTGGGGGGGGGGGGTGTGTGCCTATTGTTTGTCCTTCTCATTCAGTTACGACTGTAACAAGGAGAACATACTAAAGTTTGACAATTGTATGGGGAGGGGGGGGGCTCCTTCCGATGGGCCTGAGTTTTAAGGTTGGATTGTTCTTAATTTTTTGTTCAATTGTTGGGGAGAATGAGGTGATTCAAGAGAGTGCAATCCCTAGATATTTTGCTAAAAGGGAGGCAACATTTGCTAAGACAATTTATCGACACACATTTGAAATTTTACCGACAAAGCACCCTTAGATAACAGAAACTCCTCTTTCTTCATAGAATTTTTAAGGAGGTTTTAAAATTTGGTTCAAAGCTATATTTTACGGTACCTCAGCCCCACCTTGGTTCAAAAGCAATTTCCTTTTCTTTTACTATTTACTTTTCAGCCAGCATATTTGTCCAATCTTGCAGAAATCTTTCAAAATCTTGCAGAAAGGCTGCCCCTTTGCTGGAAAGAGACTCTTTCAGCCAAGGAGGAAATTGGGCAGGGGGCTGAGATTCTTTGACAAATTCGCAGTTAGTTCTTTTATGTTCTTTTTATTTTAATGTATTCTCTAAAGTATTTTTAAAGCTTGTTGGTTATCTGCTAGATTTTTAGAATTTTTTAGTCTCAAGAAACAGCTTTCGGCTTTTCCAATTTCTTCACTGTGAAATCATTCTTTGGAGTCTTAACCATGAGAATATATCTTCTACAAAAGACAATTTTAAGCCCTTTTCGAACCTTTGTTGTTTCACATCTCCTAAGGCACAAATTCTCCTTTACTTGAAACTCATAAACCTGGACGATAAGTCTAAATACATTTTGACATCTGTTGATCAGTATGGTACATCATTATCATTTTCATCATCAGCCTTGTTTCCAAATTTCAGATGTCAATATCTCCCATCTTATTTTCCTATAAAGTCTCTTGCATCTTCTCTTTTGGCCATTTCTCTATCCTATCCTAGGCCTCTTTTAGTCTTTTTCTCTTGGGTCATTTCTTTCTCAGTGGCCTTACCATCGAGAGGGTAGTGATTTTGTATCTAATAGGGCCATATTTTTTCTTGACAGTGCAATTTATTAGTTTTGTATGTCTGTAATTCCAAACATATTTAAAGAAATACCCTCTAGGCTGAAGAAAAGGGAGTGTCCCAAAGGACTCACCCAAGGTCCCTTGTCTATATACCTCTCCAACTTTATTCCCATAGCAACATCACGAATATCGTGTTTTCCCCATCTCTGTTCCATCTATAATACCCAGTTCTGTCTTTCTAAGGGTCCGCGTTTACTCAGTTTGATAATGAGTTGCTTTGGCAAAGATATTGATGAAGAGAAATTTAGGTGCAATTTCACCTACCGGCAAACGATATTACCGACAAACCAAGGATTTTTAACCAACTGAAGTTCTAACGACAAACTCATGTAGAGTTGGGGGTTCACAGCTCCCTACGCCCCCCGCTAGCTACGCCCCTGTGTTTTTCTACTCAGTTTTTGAACTAATCTTAAGATCATATCTTTACTTTGTTTCCAATACGTTGACTTTCAGTAATTGGTCTTCTAATCTCTTTTTGTCTCTAATCCTCTTATTTTCCAACCAGTTTTTCCTCGCAGTCGCCATGATTTTTAAGTCATCCATCACCAAAGTAAATACGAATGAGCTTAGGCCTGACCCTTGGTGGTATCCTTCATTGATTCTGAAGTCTCCTGAGTCTCCGTAGACCGCTTTTATCGCTATTCTCGACTCCTAAGTGTTTAAACCAAGTTGATTATAGTTTTATAGCACATCTCTTTCCTTATGCATCAAACACCGTCTCCTAAACTCTATAATTTGCTTTCTCTCAATTCAATTTAAAAAGCGCAATACAATTCTTTACTGTATTCATTTAAATTATACATCTTCCCGTAGCTGCATATCCAGTAGTCTTTGGTGTTTTTCAAAAAATATTTAGGATGATACATGGCAGGCTTTGAAAGGTGATATTTTTATTGACTCAAGATTAAAATCAGCGGAATTTAAAGTATAATTTATCCTTCATAAACTTTTTTAATTTTGTAAATCTAGCTTTTAAATTATCTATAAGATGAATATTAGTAAAAAGCGAAAGAGGGTAAATACTTATTCAATTTAACCTTAATCTAATTCAATTTTCGAAACCAAATTGACCAACCAGGTAAATTTGGTTTCAGAACATTGGTAACATTGGAGGATCGAAATATTTTTATAATTAATTTCCGAAAAGGGCTGCGTCGAGCTTCTGATTTCATGGTGCTGATTTCAACTGTCCAGTTTGTACTCCGAGGGGCTTGAGACTGGAGCAAATTTTTCCTATATTTGGATCTAGCTTTACTTTACTCTTATTAATCGAATTTGGCTAATGAGCATTGCTTTACAAGAACAAAATCAAAACTGTCATACAAAATTTCATCCGCTTTATGTGAATCAGATAACATGCATTCATTTCATACTTTGGTTGATTCAAGGATAATGTAAATTTTTTATCTGGAAAGTCGTTTGTAGAATTTCTGTGAAGTCTCTAATTGATTTTGTCATGTTTCTAATGAGTAATGGCATCTCAATCTTATATTTGGTAAAAGTTTTATCATTTTATAAACATTTTTGTGGAAATGGTTAATGAAAAGTTCTTTTAAAAGAAACAAGATTTGAGTATCAACTGAATTTTTTTCATGAAGATCATGGGTATTGATTAGGTCTAAGTGTATTTAGTTGAAACAACTACACCGTGTTGAGCTTGAGCGTGCACGCTTTTTTTATAAGGAACCACTTTATAAGGAACCTACATGTAGAAGGCCAAAATATTTAAAGAACTTATACTACTAAAAACGAAATCCCTAAGCAACATTTCGATTTGAAAATTTTTTACAACTGCAAGCATCAAGAACTAAAAAGCCGGTTCCATTCATTTGCAGCCAATACTCGTATGGATTGTTTGCTATTCGGGTGTCAAGTGCTCCATTGAGTAGTTTCCGCATATACTGTCTCGCCCCTCTCTCTATTAAGTGTAAAGGCTTATTGTAGTCAAAACACCGAAAGAGGGCCTTTCACTATACATAGCCTTCTTTGTGTTTTTGCTCCTGAGTTCTAGCCACAAGTTAAGGCAAATATCAAAATTTTTATGTTTTTCCTGCTTTTGTACTATTTTTATGGTACTTGATTTGCAGTGAAAATTAAGGAACTATTAAGAAACTTTTTGTACTACAATTGTATGACTTGAGGTCTACGAATAAGGAACTTCTGGAATTATGCCTTGAACTAGGTTCCTTATAAAAGGCGACTTGTGTATACCTTTCAAGGGGAGTGTAATGATTTTTGCCTATAAAGCACCATAAAGATTTATCTCAGTCACCATCGTTGGGCTGGAAAAATATGGGATCCGTTCATCTTTGTAAGGTATATCGTAAATTGGTAACTGAACTCTTTTCACTCTTCAGTTTCTCAATTTGAATTTAAAAGGCATAACCCCTGGATTTACTGCTCATGTTTTTATACAAGAACATTTTAAAAAAGTATTACATGGAGGTAGTGAAGTAATTTTCCCCTCTTCATTTTTTCTATGTGCAAATTGCTAATCGCGAAATAGGGATGTGGTTTTCGGACATACAGAAAAAACCCGCATAAAAGAACCTAGGTTTTTTTCTGGCAGCCTGAATAGGTTCTTAATTGCTATTCTAAATTCCAGTCTAAAAGGTTCTTAACAATGTTCTTTTATACGTACAGGCCTTGCACACATTAACAATGTTTTTCACTGCAGGCATTCTAATGGACACATTTAAACCAGCTTTTTTTATGTTGAATTTCAACCAATCAAATGAATTTGTATTGTTAGATTGTCCAATTAGAATGCAACATACCATAACTTGCTTTACTCTAAGCTGGTTTAATTTGCCAGTGTGAATAGGGTGTAAATATACCACTCTGAAAACCTTTATTCTTATATATACATAAGAATCTTTCCTAATTCTAGCCTCTCGGGGGTTCTTAATTATGGGGTTTGAAAGATTAAATTTCAGCCTCAAGGTTCTTATAAAAACAGGTTCTTTTATGCGGGTTTCTACTGTAGATGGAAACTACGTGGGGAAATTTGAGCTCGCTTGAAGCAATGTAAGTCTCCTGTTTAAAACATACCTTCTGGCTGTACAAGCATTACAAATCTATTGGAAGCTGCATAGGGGTCCGTGAAAGAAAGAGTAGAAAAATTTTGGTTGCCAGTTTTTAAAAAAAGTCTTTTTTTATAAGTGGGAGGGACAGGCTTACTTTCCTCACTTTTGGCAGGGTCCCCTTGCAAGTACGTAAGTCACTCAAATTTTAAAGACTATACTTTTGATTTTCATATTAATCTTTACGATACTAATCTGTTTCTATTACTATCTAGTAAGGAACAGTAAAAAAGACACGATGCATAACCAATTCTTTACAATATGCCCATATCTATATGTTTCCAAGGCACGTTAGAAAATTGAATTCCGGTGACAACGGAACAAGACTGTTGTTCTTTCATCTTTACTCTGGACTAGGCGTATCTGCTCCTTCGCGCTTTACACAATAGCAGCATTGAGTGGTTTGAAAGAAGTTCCTGGTGGTTCTTCATGCCCATCCGTATTAAGGGAGTTGTTTGGCAACTCTTTTTATTGGCCTATTATTCAGATGTATTTGTTCATTGTTACGCCTAGTTATTCACCAAATAGAGTGTCATTGGCCTATTGAAAGGCACACTATATCATTGTTGCAAATGAAACAATGGAGAAAAGTTCAAATCAGTAATACTCGGATTAAATGCTTTGGCTAATCGGATGAATGGTATTATCGCAGGATTCTGGCTGACTCTTTCTTGACAAATAAATTTAATCAGAACAAATAACTTAAACAAAATCTACATTTATTAATGAGGGTTATTCATAAGAGTATAAATGGGTAAGTTTTCAGGCCAGTTTCAGTTATTTAAAATGTTACCAACCTTTTATAAAAGCAAAACCAAATTTTCTTATTGATTGACGCGTATTGTACTTATTTTTACTATCGTTAAATTTTTTCGGCTCTGGTACCCAAGGTAACATTTTGTGAACTTAAATCTCGATAAAGTGGTAATTGATTAAATTTCTTAGGATTTAGGCTACTTGAATAAAAAGCTTTAAAGAAAAGTATTTAAGTTGTTTGATAAAATTTCCAATTGTTGGAAAACTTGACAAAACATAATCCTATATCAAGACTTTAAGTAATAGCCGCAAGTCCTCGATAAAGAGTCCCGGCGAGTAAGTGCCCATAAATGAAGTAAAAATACTAATTAGAGCCCTCTCTCGAGTTTGTGCAACCTCAAATAAAAAGACATGTATATCAAAATGTACAGTCCATCAAAGTTGTTTGGTGTTAGAATAAATTCAAGAAATGAGAAATACAATTGCGTACATTTTGTTTTGCTTTATAGCACTTTGAAAGTCTATATTTCCGAGTGGATTTCAAATCAACTGGCTAGACCACAGTTTTTTAATAAGTGACCGTCAATCAGTGCCGTCGGAACGAAATTCATATTGGGGTGGGGAGGGGGGAGTGGGGCTTCCTATCGTTTTCTTTCTCATTCATTACACTGTTATGAAGGAAACATACTACAGTTTGACAATTATTGGAAGGTTCCAGCCCCCCTTACCCCAGGGGCGTTGTTGCTAGGCGGGACACCTTTAAAATGAGTTTGTAAAATCCCGGAAAATATTGAATGTGAATTGAATATTGCGAATAGGGTAGACGATAACCATTAGCATAGAAGTATTCACGTTGGGCGCCATATGCTGAAGAGACAAGATTCTGAGCCAGAGATAGCATAAATCGACGTTTTTCTTTTTTATAATAGCATAAGAAATCCATTTACAATTTAAGTGACCATAGCTTCACGAGCGATAAACTAACTAACTCAATCAACTGTCGTGGCAAGTGCATTGTATACCGAAAACAATGAAAGGTGTTGTCAACGCTGTGGCTGACGGGAAGAGGACTGGGTCCAAACCAATACCCTGGGCTTTTAGTAATTACAACACAGTGAGAAAACCCCTCACTTACATGTAGACTCAAGTTCACAGATCAGAATTAGAGGAGGTCAACATAAAAGAAAAGAGTCTTTTTAAAAGACCCCTGCGAAAGAGATGCGTGGAATTTGAACAGGGCTGCAGCACCCCCCCACCCCCGATGATCATTTTCTCCCTGCCCTTTTCTAGGAGCCACATCGCCCCTGCCCAGCCCCCCGGCTCCGACGGGCCTGTCAATAAAACACCCTCTAGAATATACGCCCGGTCAAAATGTCCGAGAATTAACGAGAAACTAATTATTAGTCTATGCTATAACCTTTACGCAAAAACCCTTCGGACTTATAGCTTTCAGGCACCGCGGAGCGTTGAAAAAAGTGGGGGGTCTAAAAAATATGGGGGGGGGGCTAAAACCATATAAAAAGAGTTTTTACTGGTAGTTTATTACTTGATATTTGGCATTTTTTGCCCCCTCAACCCCCCCCCCCCCCCAGCTCCGCGATGCCTGGCTGAAGAGTTATAGCGATAAATGAAATGGCCAAAGTCTAACTAAAATGTAGAAATAACAGTAGGACAATGTTTCACTGATCTGCCTATTGCGGCCAGAAACTTACAATAATTTAATCTTTGTCACATCTCGACTAGGACCTTGCAAAGGTTCCCATCAGACTGTATTGTTCTAAGCATGTGCTTGTACCAGATTCGTGCAAAAATCGCATATGGCATTCTTCTCGTTAACATTCATTACTCAATTTTTAGTGAAACAGAACCAACCTAGAGATTTTTGGCACCTTTGTGATTAATATTGTATGTGTAGGTTTACCGCAACGTCTACTGTAAGGGTGCAAAAATTGATTTTCAGTGCTGCAATAGGTTGATGAGTGACAGATACAGCCTTGGGAAGGTAAATATTGTTGTAATCGTTTTGCTAAAGCCCATGTCAAAATACATCAATGAGGTATACATTTCCATACACCATTTCAGTTTATGGCCTCGCTTTGGAAATTACTGCAAACCTCTTTTGAGCACGTCATAGCACTATAGCTATGAAGAATATTTGTGTGATTTATCACCAAACTTTGAGTCTGACAACCATTCGCCATATCCATCAAAAATAATCCAGGGCGAAACTTTTAACTCTGCCGCTAATCATGATCCAGTAACTCGTGATTCAGGAACTACAATCCCGGACAAAAATGGTTTAGACTTTTCAAGGAAAGTTTATATTCTCACTTTCCTTTCAAAAATAACTTCTCCAATTAAATGTTGAATGCATGTTTTTGAAGGAGAAATGATAGAACTACAAATCCAACATTGATTCGGGGAAACGGGGGATTCGAATTTATAGGGGCGACTAAAGTAGAAAATTGCAGAAATTGCAGTTTGTCTCAACAATTTTGTCTGGGATTGTAGACATCGCTATTTATTAGTAGCTCCCCAAATAATATGAAGATATAAGTAGTAAATGAAATCAATATCATGAGCACTCGTGATACAAAAAAAGGTTCTTGGCCAATTTTAATCGAAACTCTTGTAAAAATAAGTTTTAAAGTGATGTTTAGCGAGAACTGCGTTCACCTGCCTCGCTTTCCAGTCAGATTCAATAGCCCGATGTACTTGTGGTCTGGCATCAAATTTTTTTCCGAAACATAGTGTTAAAGAAAATGCATCAAAACATAAATTGTTATCAAATTATTAATCAATTTACTTCTTAAAGAGTGCATTTAAAATGGGAATAGTTCTTAGCGACGCCATTCTGTGCCAGATTAATTTTGTAATCTTTTTGGAACAGTTAAATTTAAATCAATAAGAATTTTTTACTAATAATTGCAAGAGACGCCCATTACACCACTTTGCTAACGGGTAAGAGGAAACGTGGTTTTGATTAAGCTTGGTGTAATATTCTTGTGACCAAAGACGAATAGTGACTCACGAGGCAGTAATCTTATATCGTGTTTAAATGAGCAAGTAAAACTGTCATAATTAAAAAAGGCTTTCTAGTAAAATCGTTTGTAATACGTACAAATTAATATACAAAGATTGCAAACAGATCCTTAATTGGATCTAAAACGCAAAATATCACTAATTAACTTTCTGATGTTATCCTTCGCCGATTGTAGGATTTTTGTAATGTGAAACAAGAGTCCCATACACCCTATGCATCTTTTCAATATAATTTTAAAAACTCTCTTCAGATTCAAGGAAATACATGATACACAGCCTTCAGATGATAATAATTCCTAATTAGTTATATTTCTTCCATATAATACTTCTTGGTTTCTACAGCATAGCCAAATAACAGCTCATAAAACGTGTTCTGTAGGACACAGTATACAGTATTCCGCATATTTACATGGTATATCGTAATTGTTCTAAAATATTAAAACACTGAGTTCTGCTCAGATTGCGGCAGGAAACAGCTAAAGAACATCAGTCACAATTTAGATTAACTACTGTAAAATCCTGAAGATTTATTAAAAAGGCATTAAATGGTGTATCTTTGATACAAACAAAAATTATCTGTGATTTTTTATGATAGAGATTAACAAACGAGTTTATTATCGCTTATTGTAAACTTGTAGTTAGGCTTCTACCGGCGCCAGTATGACTTGTATTACATAGCCACGAGGTATTCTGATGTCACCAATTGTCATTTTATCATAAAGCATCTTGCCACCGAAAAACCATCTCTGTTTTGCGGTGCCTATTTCAAGTTCTCGTGCAAGTCTTTTTTTCACGGAACTGACAGTCTCCCTAGTACGAACATCGATTTTATAATCTTTGCACGTAGTGGACAAACGGCAGCGTATCATGTGCTCTTCGCCAAGATCAGCCTCGTCTTGGACGCTTTCTTTCGAGTCTGTTGAATGGCTTGACTTTTCTTCAGTGGCTACTATGTTCATAGGAGAGCAAATGCAGTAAACTGGAATGACGTAATGATTCCCAAGCTCGTCGTACGCATCTGTTAATGAACCTTGGATATAAAAAATTATTTGTTGTATTCATCTATGCTGTTAAAATCCTAAAACCTTTTTAGGGGTTATTTTTAGGCAGTGATATTTGTGAATTTCAACTGGTAAATGCTCTGCAAACATCATCTGGGAGCTGGTCAGAATAACTTACAGATTGTTAAATAATAAAACAATCTGACCCAAAGCGTCAGACGTCTTGGAAAGATTTTTGAAAAAACTAGATCCTGGGATGTGTATGACGAAGTTTTCCCAATGCTGAATAACTCGAGGAGCTAAGCTTCGCTACAAACCATTGAAGTCTGTGGAAGACCACAAATGAAGTAGCTAAGCAACCTATATCCCGCAAAGTCGAAAAACGAAATGCGATGGTCTTGATATATATTCACATCGCGCAATGTTTTCGATTCTGTTCCAGGTGTATTTGACCTTGACTCCGTATATGCAAATATGTAAACATGGGAAACATTTTAAATATTATTACTTCAAATGAGTTTTAAAAACTTGCATGCTATTCAGTTTGAAAAATTGTGTCACAAGTAGTCACCATTCTTTACTTTCACAACACAAGCAATTTTTTATAAATTAAGATATCTTGCTTTGAAAATTATATAGAATAAAACCGTTCATCTGTTACATTAAATCTGCAATACTTTTTTGAAATTTTTCTTATTTTCAATTACACTTGCTTCTTTAAGTTTTTACTGAAATTGATTCATTTACCTCAGGTTTGACAAATATAAGGAATGGTAAATAAAAAGATATTTAACATCAAATTTAGAAATAGCAACAACATACATGGAAGAAAGAGCGGGAAGGGTGTGCTCTGAAAGCAAAACAATGTCATGCTGTTTTAGAAAAAAACAAAGGGTTTATATTAACCTACCTAGAATGTCTTTTCTTCAATTCAGAGGAATGAGAAAAGTGGTCTTAGAGTTAAAAGGGTAGGTTATCTGGCTTTGTGAGGAGACAGCTTTGCTTCTTGCATTATCTTTTGTTGAGCTTCTTGTCGTGCCCTGTCCTGTTGCCCTGATATACCTACAGTCTTCCATAGAAATGCAGTTTCTCAGATTCCACAAGGCAAAACATTGCTACAGCAAATGTGACATATTATAATTACCTGTTGGAAGTGTGATATTAGCACCATCAATAATTGCTTGTGCAAGGGAAACATCATCTGTTTCACAGGCAGCTTTTAAGGCATCCCAGATCTCTTTTCTTCCTTCATATGCAGGTGATGTTTCCCAAAACTCATCTTGCTTCACTTTCAGTTGTCCCATTGTCATGGCAACCTCTGATTTCCATTTTGGCTTATCAGCACTCAGTGGCTTGTTTTTCCCAATTGTTACTGCAAAAAATACTTATTTTATCTAATTTTGATACTTTTTGCTGAAAAAAAGTCAATTTTAGATGTTTTTAAAAAGCAAATGCAATTAATCTATGAAATTTATTTACTTAATTGCATTGCATATGATTAAAATTGTATAAGGATACATGCAATCAAAAACTAAAATCATAGAATGAATTTTGTATGATTTAGTAGCCACAAAAAACGTTTGCTATCATTGAAACTGCCACAAACTCAAAAAAATTGTAAAGCTCATAAACCCTTGACATAATAAAGTACTTTAAATAGGCAGGCTATTATATTTTCATGCGAAAGTCTAGTAAACTTGTAATAAAGGATATACACTCGAGTCAGTGAAAATAAAATGTATATTTAACAGTCAGTAGATTGTTAGAGACTTGAGTACCAAACATGAAAGTAGCATTATTGGTGCATGCAAATGATAATTAGCAAGCAGAAATAAGGTCAGTTAACAAAGATAAAAGCATTGAGAAGAAATTTTCTGTCCTTGGTACACAATATATTAATCAATGGAAGTAGACAAAATTCACATTTTAGAGCTCTAGGGTTCCTTGTTGGCATTCATCCTAATTTGTATGTGTGTGTAAGTTTGCATTTTCTAATTTTTTTTCAGAATTTTTGTCTAGTCAGGTCGATCAGCCTATGCCACAAGGCTTTGTTCTTTTAGAATGATTATTCTTGATTGCCCAAACCTTTTATAATATCATAAATAGATATTTGCTACCTGATTTCCATTTATTAATGAAAAAGTTGATGCAAAAGTCTAGGATAGAGCATTCAAAAACTACAACTAGAATGCAATATCAATTTGAAATGCATGAATATCAACCTATTACAATAAGACATAAATATATAAGGGTATTTGGAGCATTTCCAGAACAGGAATAATGTTTTATGCCAAAATAAATAGAAAATTTGACTACATACACCTCTTAAATACAATTTTTGTTCACCAGTTTGTTACTGGTATACCCATGATATCTTATGTTCCTCTTACCAGCACATCTGGTCTTGTTGCTGTTTTTTATTTAACCTATTATACACAGAGGCTTAGTATAATGATAACAGTTTTTAGTGCTTAGTTCTAGTCAGCTTAAAGTTTCTTGGAAGCAAATCTAGAAGTTTTGCAGGGTACACCCAACATAAACTTTCCCAAAGGTATGCCATTGCAGTCATGGTCCAGATTTCATGGCAGTTTTTGATGAAAGCTTGAGAGTGCACAAGCTACTACCCTGGATTGGAAGAGTTAACTTGTGATAAGTGTGCAAATTTGAGCATGCACCTAATTTCCCAGTGTTGATTGAGTTTGTCTGCATGTTGTTTCTTTAGCCATTTATCCAGTTCATATCAATTTTCACTCACAGGGAAAATCAATGGTTGAAAGTTGAAACTTATCTTTCCTACAACTAACACCAGTGGTTGTTATTCATATTCCAATAGGTTTAGCAGGTAAAGAATTGACTTTAGAAATAATTTTTAAAAGTCCAAAAATGATAATCCTAATTTATGATTTCAAGTTGGGTCACCAAGTGGGGGACAGGGGGCCTCAAAAAGGACCTAAAATGGTAAATCATTCTAAGGGTTGCAAGAAAATGACTGCAAGAATTATTCTGAGGTGTAATTTAAGCTAAACTTTAGGCTGTGGTCAATAAAATGTTCTGCTCTCCTTTGTTCACAGGATCACATCTTTCAGATTTGTCCTAGGGCTAAGCCCTAATCTCAAGAGAATCACTAAATTTAGAATGACTAACTTGTTTCAATCTCTTCAAGCAAATTTAAAAAGGCATTTTGTGATCTTTAAAAAATCCATGAATCTAAATCACACCAAAAATCACACCCAAGCATTGCTCATCACTCTGGTGTGCAAAAGGGGACTGGGAATTTTACAAAAACTTCTTGAGAGATGCAGATGCCATGAAATCATATTGGGTTCTGAATGCCTGACAAACATTTTCTGCCAATGCCCATCATGTCAAAACAAAAGGGGAATAACAACACAACAATAATACAAAAATTTCTCACGAAGAATTACATATCTATTGAAACTAACTGATAGAATACTTTATTGATAGAAAGTTGCATTAACTTAATATAAACCAGTCTTACTTACGGCCACTCCAAGGACAGGCTTGTGTGAAAAAGCCCACCTACTACCTCACTTGCACTTACGAAATCTTACCATTAAGTCCAAAATACAACTGCTTTTGAAGCTAACTTCGAAAATTAAATTTCTTAAATAATCCTTTCGATTTGATTAAGACCAGTGATTTCCAATACAAACCATTTCCAGTGCCACTATTCAGGTGTTGCGAAGAAGTGACGCTAGTAGAAGGTTCCCTGTTGTTGCGACTCACACATCCTCCCATTGTACATTTGTGAGTCTCAACCAAGACTTGATCTTTGTAATAAGGACATAATCTGTTTCAGCCTCGAACTCTACTTTGATTTTATCGTTTCACGATTAAACCTTCCACTTCATCGCCTCTTCCGTTTCATTCCTATTTTTCGCCATTTGTTTTTCTCTCAGAAAAGAAATTAAAGGCTGTTCGTTTCCAGGCCTCCTTCACAAAGAGGAACCTACCCCTGTGGTTTGGTTTACTCCTGCGCATGGTTCTAAAGGGGTTTGTTCATCGGTTGATTCCACCAAGGATTAATTTAAGGTGCAGTGATGACCAATTTGTGCAGTGATGAATCGGAAATGTGCAGTGATGAATTACTTCACTTCAGAAATACTCCAAATTTTACTGATTTAGAAATTTTTAGAATAAAGACAAATGAATACAAACTATTATCAAGTGTCAAATGAGATAACAGAATCAATCTACGTGTGAAACTCAACTAAAACCAGCTTAAACAAAAAAAAATAATATACAGTTAATCACAAACGCACTTCATATTGCAAAAAGTGTTTTTAAGAAAATAGAAATAATACTGGAAAAGAAATAGATAAAAAGAATAGTGCAATAAATCCTGTTATTGCTAAGATTCCAAGGAATAAGCCAAGGTCTGTGGGGTCTTATAAAGTAATTATGTGAATTATTTTAAGACTGGAATCAATCAAGCATGCCTTGAAAAAAAAACAAATGTTTAAAATGATTGCAAGAAAAAACTGCTAGAAATAATCTGAAATATATTTTAAGATAATTTAAGGGGCGTGGTCACAAAATTTTCTTCTCGCTCCACTCGCAGGTACGCTTCTTCTTCCAGATTATTTTAAGGCATCCGACAACGTGAGATTTCTTGCATTGCATGGCCAAAAAGACCCAATGCCACTACCACCATCAAATGACGGCCTGTTTCTCTTCTTTTGTATGAAATACAATACGCCACAATAATTGGAGTGAATACCATATCTATCTTTGTTTTACATTTGGATAAAAAATTTTTTTTGCTTGGTTATCCATAAAGCTAACCAGGTATAGTTTTGAAAGATTAATAGCAGTTACAGATTTGTATTATATAAACAAACTTCATATTACATAAAAAGTATGTAATATACAGTAAGGCTCTGTTTTGGACAGTTCTTAGAGCATTGAAATATGCAACATGATTAGAGATCAAGTCTCTAAAAACAGCATTTTAGGAAAAGAAACAGCTAGAAACAGTTGATTTGCCTTTAAGGATCAATCAATAACTTACAAACACAGTAATTACATTCCACTCTATTTCCCCAATTCACAAAGAAATACTATATTGACCCCATAGGGTGGAAATGTAGAAAAAATTCCCTGTCATCTGGTTTGCTACTCTGTTTTCTTTTGGCCAGGTTTGATATGTTCTGGTAAGATTTATACATAATCAGTGGCAGCTGTAGTTAGGCCAGATTACACTGAACATGTCCCTGAAAACAATGTAAAACATTGTTGGTAGGTCCCCGAAAATCTGCGTTTTACGCTGTTTTGTGCAGTGATGAAAATTCCTTAAATTAATGCCTGGATTCCACTGATAGTTTTGATTTGATTTTGATTTTATATAATTCAAATTCTACGACATTTCTAAAAAAGCTAGGTAGTTACATAAATTATAAACAAATCAACTAAAGAACGCAACAACAACAACAATAGTTTTTGTGTCACAAAGCATTTTTGTTATAAGAATCAAATAATTTTTCAAAGGCACGTTGATCTTAGTTTTTTGGATATTTTGAGGCTTGGATGCTCTTAGTTGCTCCTATTTTAACATTGATTTTTCTGCATTTACTAACAATTAATTGTTTCCAGGACCACAAAATATCAGTTCTGCCTTAAATTTTTGATAGGACAATTGATAGTTCAGTGTAAATTTTTGATAGTTTTCTTAAAACGAAAGAGAATGTTCAAAAAGCACGTTTCTTCTCCTCGTTTTGCATCCAAGGCTGGACATCTATGCCAGTATCAAAACAAAGTCTTTCAATAGAAATTGATTGACTTTGAAAGACTTTGATCAAAATTTTCTAAATTGTTCATCTCCGTCCTCACTGGCTCTATTGGACTTTTAATGATAAATTTGATACGGCGCCTTTCAATTTGTTGCTCGAAATGGGGAATTCTTTTGGCACATGTCAATTTATTCAGAATTCATGTACCAATTCTTTTGACAATTTTTGGCACATTAAATCTGATTTTTTGATACCATAAATTCTCGAGTTACATTATGTACCAAAAATTTTTTCTTACCGAAATTTTCAAACGCTAGAAAAATATCGTTTGACATCGATATTACATTCCAAATAGATTTTCCATGATATTGTCTAAGAATTATTAAACATCAAATACATATCTATAATCAGTTTCTGGTTCTCCTTCGTAATCAACAAATAAGCTACCCAGCTCATCTTCACTTTCTTCTCTTCCGCCCTATATATCCAAGAACTTGAGTTCTCTATGGGCTGAACTGATGCTTCTACAGGCTTGATATTGTTTCTCATTTATATCAATGACCTTTCATTGTCCCTTAAGAAAGGCAAAGTGGCGATGTTTGCAAAAGATAAAATATTTTCCTACACTTATTCGAACTCAAGCTTTGGCTGTATTTTGAAAATTACTGATGAAACTTTTGATCATCTACACCACAGTTCTTTTTTGGCAGCTCTCAAGCTGAAAATGTGGACTAGACAAGGTATCTGGTCGTTATCAATAGGGGCTTGAATAAAGGAAGGAGAAATTAACAATCATCCTACCAAGACTTCTCGTGTTTTTGGGTTTTGAAATATTCCAGGAAATGCTTACCTACCTCATGGGCTCAGTTTGCAGGCTGGAAAGTGGGGGGGGGGGTCAAGGGAAAATTTAACAATCATAACAGGATATTTTTGAAAGCTCTATTTGCTTTGCACCCTACCCCCTTCGTCTGAAGCTCTGCTACCTCAAAACACAGTAAAAATGTATCAGGGTGAGTTAAAAATTCACCCCATTTAATAGGCCCCCAATTACCGAACCAAGGGCGCGATATTTGCCCTCAATTCTATGTCTCTAATGGAAACGAGTTTATTTTGTCTTCATGTTCTAAAATGGGCGCTTCAACTAGCTGTATTGGGGGCCTATTTAAATGGGGTGAATTTTACTCACCCTGATACATTTTACTGTGTTTTGACGGTACAGAGCTTCAGACGAAGGGTGGTTAGGTGCAAAGCAATAGAGCTTTCAAAAATATCCTGTATGATGTTAAATTTTCCCTGACCCCCCCCCCCCCCACTTTCCAGCCTGCAAAATGAACCCATTGAGGTAAGCATATCCTGGAATATTTTTCAAAACCCAAAAAACACGAGAGTCATCGGTTAGGATGATTGTTAATTCTCCTTCCTTATTCAAGCCCCTATGGATAACGACCAGATACCTTGTTCTAGTCCACTTTTCAGCTTGAGAGGCTGCCAAAAAAGAAACTGTTGTTGTAGATGATCAAAAGTTTCATCAGTAAATTTCAAAAATACAGCCAAAAGCTTTGAGTTCGAATAAGTGTAGGAAACATATTTTATTCTTTTGCAACATCGCCACTTTGCCTTTCTTAAGTGGCAATGAAAGGTCATTGAATATAAATGAGAAACAATATTCAAGCCTGTAGAAGCATCAGTTCAGCCCCATAGAGAACTCAAGTTTTGGATATATAGGGCGGAAGAGAAAAGAAATAAGATTGAGCTGGTAGCTTATTTGTTGATTCGAAGAGAGAGAACCAGAAACTGATTATAGATATGTATTTGATGTTTGAAATAATTCTTTAGACCAATATCATGGAAAATTCTATTTGGATGTAATATCCGATGTCAAACGATTATTTTCTAGCGTTTTGAAAAATTTCGGTAAGAAAAAAATTTTTGGTTACATAATGTATGCGAGAATTTATGGTATCAAAAAATACGATTTAATGTGCCAAAAATTGTCAAAAGAATTGGACATGAATTCTGAATAAATTGACATGGCCAAAAGAATTCCCCATTTCGAGCCAACAAATTGAAAGCGCCGCTATCAAAATTTTTATTTCATTTAAAAAAGGGGGGTTTCCCAATAAGAGCAGTGAGGACGGAGTATGATCAATTTAGAAAATTTTGATCAAAGTTCTTTCAAAGTCAATCAATTTCTATTGAAAAGAACTTTGTTTTGATACTGGCATAGATGTCCAGCCTTGGATGCAAAACAGAGGAGAAGAAACGCTGCTTTTTGAACATTCTCTTTGCGTTTTAAGAAAACTACAAAATTACACTGAAACTATCAATTTGTCCTATCAAAAGTTAAGGCAGAATATTTATTTTGTGTCCTGAAACAATTAATTGTTAGTAAATGGAGAAAAATCAATGTTAAATAAGGAGCCAACTAAGAGCATCCAAGGCCTCAAAATTATCCAAAAAACTAGATCCAACCGTAGCCTTTGAAAAATTATTTGATTCTTATAACAAAATGCTTTTGACACAAAAACTATTGTGTTGTTGTTGCGTTCTTTTAGTTGATTTGTTTATATTTTGTAAACTACCTAGCTTTTTTAGAAAGTCGTAGAATTTGGAATTATATAAAACTCAAAATCAAATCAAAACTACAGTGGAACTCCACGCAATATAATTAAGGAATTTTCATCACTGCACAAAACAGCGTAAAACCGCAAAACATTTTCAGGAGAAACCATACCAACAATGTATTTACATATGTTATTCAGGGAAATGTTCACGAAATAATCTGCGAAAAACCTAACTACAGCTGCCACCAGATTATGCTATAAATCTTACCAGAACATATCAAACCTGGGCCAAAAAGAAAACAGATAGCAAAACGACGATGACAGGCGAAATTATTTCTACTTTCCACCCTAGGGGTCAATATAGTATTTCTTTGTGAAATTGGGGAAATAGAGGTGGAAATTAATTACTGTGTTTGCTAAAGTTTAAATTGATTGATCCTTAAGGCAAATCAATGTTTCTAGCATGTTCTTTCTAAAATGCTGTTTTAGAGACTTGATCTCTAATCATGTTGCATTTTCAATGCTCTAAACTGTCCAAAACAGAGCCTTACTGTATATTACATACTTTTATTAATATGAAGTTTGTTTAATAATACAAATCTGGTAACTGCTATTAATCTTTCT